TAGGCAAGAAGGACACATGGTCAAGATTGTGGATCAAAAGACTTATGGTGGTTCCTTTCTATGTATAGAGTTATCTTTGTGAATTCTTAAGAGAAAAGATTTGACTATTATTGTCTAACATACAAAATGTTTCAAGATAATGAGTATCTGTTTGAAAATGAGTAACATTTCTTATTCACTAGCCCTTCCTGTCTGTCACAAATTAATGACCTTGATATTTATTTCAAAATTGTGAATCCAATACTTATATTTCGACAATGTATAAGATAAATATTATGAGTATATATACATATGAAAATGAGAAACAATTTCTATGCACGAGACCTTCAAGCAATCACAAATGAATTTATCGACATTCACTTGTTCCCATTTAATATAGCATGCATACATTCACAGATTTATGATATATATGTATACATTCAATTGTGATTTCACTATGTTAACATGGACAATGAATAAAATATTATATTTGAAAACAAAGTAATATTTCCTATAAATCCTTGTCACTTACAAATGATCTTAATATTTATCCACCAACAGTAAATATAATATGAATATATACATTCAAAGTCTGGCAATACAAAAACTCATTATGTATTTAAAATTGTGAGTTCAATATTTTTATACTGATAACAAATTAATATTGGTTTTATCTCTGAAAATGAGTAACATTATCTATGCATGAAGNAGTTCAATATTTTTATACTGATAAAAAATAAATATTGGTTTTATCTCTGAAAATGAGTAACATTTTCTATGCATGAAGCCTCAAACTTTTCCATCTCACAAATAAACTTAACATTTATTAACGGACAATTAATATAATATTTATATATACAAAGACTGGTGATATATCAAGTCAACAAAATTTCAAAATTGTGAATTCAATATCCTTACACCGGCAATGTGATGCAGGAGGATTCGAGTTAGATGTTGAGTTGTTAGATAACACGTTAATAGCTCTAAGGTATCACGAGTTGGTAGATCGGCGCAAGGATGTCGTGTTTCGGTAATTTGGCCATAACTTTGGCTAGGTTATTAGAATTGCTATTATGACCACAATCCGGAAAGTTCGTTTCGGCGTGCACATCGTGGCCACCAAGCTTTGCCCTATATGTTGCCGTTTTAATCCTCAAATTTCACTGTTTTTCCTTCTAAATTGCTATTTTTAGTTAATTTTTGCTATTTTTTGTAATATTTCGATTGCATGTTAGGAGATGATTTTTAACTCGATTTGAGTTAGATTTTTTGCATAATACTTTTTTTATTCCATATTTTCGTTTGGCGTGATTTTTGAAATTTTTCCATTTTTGGTAAAATTCGGATTTGGCTATAAAGTCTGGCTTGTGGACTTATTTTGCTCATTACGTGATATAATAAAATTCTCTAAACTTCAGAGCCGNTTGTCATTTTTGGTAAAATTCGGATGTTGGCTATAAAGTCCAGTTTGTTGACTTATTTTGATCATTGCGTGATATAATAAAATTCTCTAAACTTCAAAGACGTTTTCTCTGTATTTTTCGACGTTAATATTTTGTTCTTCCCTATGAATTTGCTGGTAAAACTAGCCTATAAAATAATCATTATTCTGTCCGACGTCACAATAAATACAATATCATGAGGTTATCTGACAATATGAATAACATTTTCTATGA